GTTGACCTTGCAGTTACTAATCCAATGCTTATCATACAGTGCCACATCAGGGCTGATGTTTGCATAGTTGGAAGTAGTTTGAGGCAGAATAAGATGTTTGAAAATATCAATTTAATCACCATAATGGTCAAAATTTTAGACTTTATAGATATAAAATAGCTATGAAATTGGAAGATACTTTTTCTCTAAGTCTATATGTTTCACCATTGAAAGATGGCTACAGACTAAAAGTATTCATATTTTATTTAACTTTAAATACTTTTCTATAAAACAAAACCAGTAACCAAGTTGATTCTGACTTATGGTGACCCTATGTATGTCAAAATATATCTCTATTTCATATAATTTTCAATGGCTGCTTTTTTGGATACAAAACCTGGTGATGCAATGGGCCAAGTTTCTGGATGCTAACTTCAAGGTCAGCTGTTCAAACCCACCAGAAGTTCCATGGGCAAAAGATTTGCTCCAATAAAGATTTAGTCTTGAAAACCATAAGGAGCAATTCTACTCTGTCCTATGGTGGTTGGGTGCCGTGGAGTCGGTTCCAACTCATAGCGACCCTGTACAGGGTTTCCAAGGTTGTCAATCTTTACTGGAGCAGAAAGCCTCATCTTTCTTCCGCAGAACAGCTGGTAGTTTCAAACTGCTGATTTTAAGGTTCGCAGCCCAATTCATAACCACTACGCTACCAGAGCTCCTTACTCTGTCATGTAGAGTCCTATTACTCAAAATCAACTCAGTGGCAGTAGGTTTGAGCTTTTGGAAGCAGATCACCAGACCTTGTACCACCTAAGACTCCTATCTTTATATTCCTGGTGTGACACTGTGGACTAATGCACTGGACTGCAAAGTTGGTTTGAACCACAAGGTTGGTGGTTCAAGCTCACCAGTCACTCCTTGGAAACCCTATACAAGGTTGCTATGGGTTGGAATCGACTCGATGACACTTAAAACTAACAACAATAATTGTGAATAGAGTGAAGAGCAGATCATCAGTTTTCTATTCAGCAATTCATACACATTTTGTTTCACATCATTAATTGCAATCCCCTCAATGTAACATCACATATCCCATTTCTCCCTGTTTCATGTTTCCATTCACCTTCTTTCCTGCCCTACAGATTGATGCCTATAAGTGCAGACTCTGGAGCTAGCCCATCTGCCTTCTAATGTGGATCTATTATGAAAGTGAGTGGTCTTGGGCAACAAGATTAACTACCTAGTGATGAGTAACAAATTTCCCAAAACATGACACTGTAAACATTTCTTTTCTTTCTGTGTCTGTGGTTGGGATTCCAAGAATGCCTTAGTTGGGTGGTTCTGGCTCAGGATGTCTGCTATCAGGATATTAGCTAAGACTGCAGTCCTCCAAAAGTTAAGAGTTGGGCTGGAGGAATCGCTCCCCACACACGTGGCACACTCGTGCTCATGGTAGTCAGCAGGCCTTCATTCCTTCCCACATGGTCTCTCCATAGAGTAACTTGAGTGTCCTCATTACATGGTGGCTAATTTCCACTGGAATGCATTTTCCTAGCGAGAACAAAGACGAAGCCATAGTGCTTTGCATGAACTCGTGTCAGACGACACTCATCATTTCCATCATGTTCTGATTCTCAATAGTAGATCACTAAGTCTCCTCCCACTCAAGGATAGGAGAACTAGACACCACCTTGAAGAAAGGAGGACTATCAAAGACTTTGTGGACATACATTTAAACCAACAGGAAGTTAATAACCTAGTAAGTGTTTCAGTTTTCCTATTTGTACAATGGGGATAATTTCATAGAGTTTCATTAAGGAGTTCGTTATGTATGTGTTAAGTATTTAGATTCATGCCTCTCCCATTATTAATGCCATGTGAGTGTTGTTTTATTTATTTTCATGGTACATCTTGTTGTTGCTATTGTTAGGTGCCATCAAATTGGTTCCAACTCATAGTGACCTTAAGGAAAATAAAATGATTAGACAGAATGGTATCTAGGTGGTTTATACCTGGTGTGGTGCTGTAGGATAAACACTGGACTGCTAATTGCAAGGCTGGTGATTCAAACCCACCAGTTTGTTGCTCCTCAGAAACTCTATACTGGGTCACTATTAGTCCAAACTGACTTGATGGCATTTAACAACACAGTTGACAGACTAGTCTTTATGTACTTCAGGACTGCCTTATTTCTCCAGGTCTTACAAGTTTCTCGCCTTTGAGGTTGCAGTCTTACCACTTTTCTATTGGTTGTTTTAGTGGAAAATATTTTAGTTTTCTTTCTCTGACACATTTCCATCTCACCAGAGTTCCATCTTTTGCAGGTTTACTCTAACATTAAAACCTTTTTATTCCAGTTTTGAAGGGCAATTGGCAGTTCTTTAGAAGCATAGCTTGTTAAGAGGGCTTCCCATTTCAGTAAAGGCTGCACAATTTACATGACATATCCCTGAGGGTATCAGGATTCACCCTACCCTACAACCAGGTCATCAGCATGCCCTGCTGGCTCTGCCCTCCAATTCTATTCAGGTTGTAACCCATTTCCTCAGTCCCAGGACACCACCATGGCCGGTCCAGACAAATTCTCCATAGAGCTCCTTACTGGTCTCCTGATTTCTCTCTTGGCCTTTACAATCTTTTCTACACTGAGAGCCAGAGGGAACTTTTTAAAAAAAGAACATAAGAAAAGATCATCTCACTTCCAGGATCAAAACTTTGGACTATTCAGTGTTGCCTTTCAGAGACACTTTACCTGAGCAACCTATCAAGAAAGCACCCATGCCGCCAACATCTCTCACTTAATATGATGCCTCCCTTTGAAGCATCATATAAACTATAGGTGTGCTTCTCCTTTGTCTCCCTCATTAGACTGTACGCACTATGAGGACACTCTTCATGCAGAATAGTGTCTGGCACAAGATAGAGACTCCATAAAGGCTTGTTGATGCATAAATGACTAAACAGTTATGAGTCAATTGGTTAATCCAGAAGTTATCAAATGGAGGTTACTCTGGCCCACAAATGTATTTTGTTAATCCAACATTCCCTGGCAGCATGTTTTATTTGTTTGTTTTGCAAATCAGTTAATAACATTTATAAACTGTGAAATGTATCCTACACATTCTGCTTTCTGATTTCTTTTGAAAATTCAGGAGCCCTGATAGTGCATGTGGCTACAGTCATGGCTGCTAACCAAAATGTCAGGGATTCGAACCTGCTAGTCACTGGGGGAGAAGTCCTGTAGGGTTGCTGTGAGTCAGAATTGACTCAAAGACCATGATTTTTTGGTTTCTTGGGGAAAAAAATCAAGATATTTGTATCTGGAATCCTGATGGTAAAAAAAATGTTGCTACTCAACTTGCCCCAGACCCCACCCCCTATTATATCTCTAACATCAAAGACTTTCTTACACCTGGCTCTCTCCTCTCTATACCACCTGCCTGGCTCTGTAGACTTCCAGGACCCCCAGATTAAGCATATTTGTGGGAAGCCTGCCATTTCTGTTCCACATGTCTGCAATTGCATGTCTAACTTAACAATGAAATTGGCCCTGTGTTGGCTGTCTAAGTATTGTCCTTAATGAGAATATTATGAGTTTCAGCCTTCTGTGCTATTCTAGTTTGACAACTCAGCAAACAACCTTCACTAGTAAAAGAACAGAAAGATTCAATTTTATTTGAAAACAGTTTTCACTTTTGGAAGTCTATTTTTAAAAGTTATTATATTTTTTAAAAGAAAAACATAAATTTTAAATTGTCTTTATTTTCAAAACCTCATGAACATTCTATCCAGATGTTTACCTAAAGTGATTAATTTACTAGTGTGGGATACACCCAATTGTCCTAAGAAAGAAAATAACTCTGTTTTACAATAGATGAATGCTTATTCTGAAGTAAGTCAGGAAAACAGAAATAGGCATATAATAGCAAAAATGATGTCTTTTTGCTATTGTATAGTCAAATAAAGAAAAATATACATAAAATAGCAAGAACTATGGCTTTTTGCTCATAGTATAGCCAGGATCGCTCTACACTTAGGAGTCCTGGTGTGGCGCTGTGGATTAACCCACAAAGTCAGTTAAAACCGCAAGGTTGGCAATTCGAACTCACCAGCAGCTCCTTGGAAACCCTGTACAGGGTCGCTATGGGTCAGCACCTACCAAAACCAAATATCCAACCAAACCCACTGCCATCCAGTCTATTCTGACTCTTAGCAAATCTCTATTGGGTTTCTGAGGCTGCAAATCTTTACAGGAGCAGAAAGCCTCATCTTTCTGGCTCAGAGCGGCACTGTATAGCATTTCCAAGGAGCAGCTGGTGAGTTCGAACCACTGACCTTATGGTTAGCAATCCAGGACTCGTCCTACAACACCACACCAGTGTTACTATTGTTAAATGGTATCAAGTCAGTTCCAACTCATAGTGACCCTATATAGAGTTTCCAAGTAGTGACTGATGACTTCAGACTGCCGACCTTGCAGTTTGAACTTCAGTGCTTATCTTACAAGCACCACACTGTAGGATAGTAAAACAAACAAAAATCAAGTGTATGGGTGTGCATACTACTCTTTATATGATTGGCCAAACCCCTCAGTTTAGGACGATTGATCGTCTATGTCTATGAGTATTGGTAAGTTAACATATATTTTGATTTAGTCATCACCTGGGCATTTGAGCCTCAATGACGATATAAAATACTTTACATCAGCACTGAAGGTTCAGTTGTGCAAGGTGAACTGTAGTGACTGACCTCATTTGATCCCCAGTGAAGATTCTAACCCTAAGCTATGGTATATACATGATGAATTCTCATGAATTGCTGCAATTTTATTACTCCCAATGCATGTTCATATCCCATGTATCAAGCCCTGGTGCTTTTCAGAGGGGTATTCCATGAGGAAAAGACTAAGAACCTGAATTTGTTATCTCTGCATGCTAAATCCTCTCCACTGAGCATTACAGCTCAGAAGGCACCATGTACAAACCTCCTTCTCAGAGCTTCGTGTCTCCTCCTTGATGCAGCTCCTCGCAGAGGACTGGCCCTTTGGAGTTGAGATGTGCAAGCTGGTGCCTTTCATACAGAAGGCCTCCGTGGGAATCACTGTGCTGAGTCTGTGCGCTCTAAGCATTGACAGGTAAGAGCTTCTATTTAAAACCAGGTATATCCTGAGTACTGTGCTCCTGATTACTTTGTTACTTAAAAAGACAAACTCTGTAATTCAATAAAACTGGTGTTGCTAGCTTACGAATCCATTCTATTTTGATCTTCAGATATCGAGCTGTTGCTTCTTGGAGTCGAATTAAAGGAATCGGAGTGCCGAAATGGACAGCAGTAGAAATTATTTTAATTTGGGTGGTCTCTGTGGTTCTGGCTGTCCCTGAAGCCATGAGTTTTGATATGATTACAATTGAGTACAAAGGAAGTTATCTGCGAATCTGCTTGCTTCACCCCAATCAGAAAACAGCCTTCATGCAGGTAAAGTTTACAACCCCTGACTCTTTTCTGTTTTTACCTCATAAATATTTAATGATTTCCACCCCCTGACCACCTTTTCCTGGGCTAGCTATTGATTTATAACTGTCCTTGGCATCAACTAAGAATGTAGATCCCAGGACTACTTGGACTAATGGCCCAGGGGCAAGAAATTTGGTCACACATTTGGCAGAATCACCTGGCTCTCAGGGACAAATGCACACAGAGAAACCAAGTTCACATATAAGAATCCATTTTTATAGTGTTTCTACCCACAGCCTCATAAGGACTGGCAATTGCTACATATGCAGAATAAGACTCTCCCCCTCTCCCCCATCCCAAATCTACAACATTGCCGTTAAGTTCATTCTGACTCCTGGCAACCCCATGTGTTATAGAGTAGACAAACAGCGTCTGTTTGTCTGCTTTGGGTGAAAATATACATAACAAATCTCCATTAAGCAATTTTTACATGTATGGTTCATTGACAACGGTTGCATACATCACATCGCATCACCATTTTCTCTATTTCTGTCCATATTGCTTCACCACGTTAACTTAGGCTCTCTGCCCTTTAAAATTCTCTTTTATGTTTTAGGATTACTATTGTCCATTTGGAGTCCTGGTGTGCGCTGTGGGTTAATGCGCCAGATTGCAAAGCTGTTTGAACTGCAGGGTCCGGCGGTTCAAGCTCACCAGCTGTTCCTCGGAAACCCTATACAGGGTCCCTATGGGTCAGAATCAACTTGACAGCACTTAACAACAACAACAACATTATCCATTTAACCTAATCACATAGATAATTCTTTAAAAGAACATAATGCTTAAGGCCATCACTCTTTATTACTTGAGTTCCGTAGGGTTTTCTTGACTGTGATCTTAACGGAAGCAGATGGCCTGGCCTATCTTCCATACTGCCGCTGGTCATGGTATCAAAAAGCTACCCTTTAGGCTAGTTGTTCTTGTTGTGAAGTGCCGTCGAGTCACTTCTACCCATAACAACCCTGTATAGATTTTCCAAGGAGCCTCTTGTGAGCTTGAACCATCAACCCTGTGTTTCAAGCTGACTTTGCAGTTCAGCACATTAACCCACAGTGCCACATTAAATGCAAATGGCTGTACCTAGAACCACACTTCAGTGATCAGAGGGAGTGGATGATTCAGTGGAATTCCACAAGTCACCAGATATAGATAGATTCTCAGTGGCAAGACTCTCGTTTCTCCTGGTCTATGATACTAAAGGGAAAGCAGCCATTGCAAAGAACTTTTGTCTTGGCCAATTGTTAAAAGGCATTTCATTATAAAATAAGGCAAGAATTGTGATGCTAGTAATCAGACTGAAACTAAGTGTAAAAGGCTCTTCCAAAAGAATAGGTTAAAAGAGTTAGCATGAAGGAATTGGCCTTGGAGTGTTGCCAGTGGTTGTTTCTAGTTTTTATATAAGAAGCATGGAGGTGGGACTTCCGGCGCCTCCCTGACAGGGCACCACAGGTATGTGGGCTCGGGAGAAAGTAAGGGGCAGTATCACAAAGAGGGGCCCCCGCCTGGTAGACAGACAGCTTTTGGGCAAACATAAAAGATTAGGCTTCAACTTTATGAACTTGTTTTTTTGAAGGATCAAACTATTGAGGAGTTGTGAGCATTTTGAACTTCCACCTGCCTGCTCCTGGCTCCTACCCTGGGACAGCCCCGCCCACTGCAGAACTTAGCAGGGCTTGAACAGACCCATTCAAAGGGCGGATGCTCTCAGAGAGCTAGCAGGGCCACAGGAACCAACATAGTCCATCCCAGGGGCGTCCCCATTGCCACATTAGGCATTACCGGTGTGTATATAGGGCAAATTGGGGGGCTCAAGGCACAGGGAGACAAAGAGAGGCATTTTAGACCTCATCAAAAACAGACCCCATCTGCCTGCAAGCACCAAGCCCATCCCCCACTTCTTCGGCCTACACCAGCCCTCTGCCCAGCCTCCTAGCCTCAGGCCTGCCCATCAAAGCATCAAGGTTTGGGCCAGCCCAAGCTGAGATGCCCTTGAGTAGCAGCTTAACACCAGTAACAAAGCACCCCTGCTGTGGTTTAATCCACCAGACTGCAAAGCCTTTTAAATTGCAGGAACTGTGGTTCTAGCTCAACAGCTGCTATTGGAAACCCTATACTGGGTCGTTGTGGATCATAATCCACTCCACAGCATTTCAACAAGTAGCAGAACTCAGAAGGGCCTGAAACAGAGTAAGGACATTACAGACTTACTGAAGAAGCAGGGAGGGCAGGGCTTGCTGGCAGCTAGGGTGAAGGCATAGTGAAGGTCGCCATCAGCAATAACTCAGAATTCCAGGCAAAAAAGAGGCAAGACAGAGGGCCAAAATTTGGACCCACAGAGATAGGAATAGTTTAAAGGCTTAAAGGCTTATAACCTGTGGAATTTGGAGCGGAGGCGGGAAATAGCGTACCTTTAAATCCGCCGGCCAGGCTCAGAGGCCTGAGCCCACATCCTGGGCTAGACAAAGCAGCGGGACTAAATAGGAGCTGCAGAGACACCACGGAAACACTCAGCAGGAACATTGGGGGGCGGGGGGAATGTGCACGGTATGCTTTGCCGATTTTGGGTGGTTCCAATATTATTTTTTTTCTTTGGTGTCGGGAATAGGTGCGCTCACGGTTTGCCCACATACATCTGGGTGAATGGAGGTGGGGGCTTAACTGAGTGGCCAAGACCCACCCCCACCACTGGTGGTTTCCTCTGCCAGGAACTCACACACTCAGACAAAGCTGAGACATGGATTTGGTCTGCCTTTCTTCACTGGTTTGAGAGGGAGCCCAGCGTAGTGCTGTGGGTTAAGACACTGCACTGCAAATTCTTTTGACTGACAAGGCCGGTGGGACAAGGCCGATGGTTCAAGCTCACCAGCCACTCATTGGAAAACTTAAACAGAAGACGCGGATGTGTGTCCATTTGGTCGGCTTCCTTTCACTGGTTTGAGAGGCGTCCCATTGTAGCGCTGTGGATTAAGGTGCCACTGCAAAGCCTTTTGAACTGCAAGGTCAGTGGTTCAAGCTCTCAAGTCACTCCTCGGAAACCCTATATGGGAGACGCGGATGCGCGTTGTATTTGGTCTGGTTTTTTTTCACTGGTTTGAGAGGAGTCCAGCACAGTTCTGTGGGCTGAGGTGACACACTGCAAAGCCTTATGAACTGCAGGGTCGGTGGTTCATGCTCACCAGCTGCTCCTCGGAGACCCTATACAGGGTCGCTAGAGGTCGGAATTGACTAGACAGCACCTAACAGCAGGGAAAGGAGGGCAAAAGTGACTAAACGAGAGTTAGGACTTTAAAAACATACTTATATTAAGCTACAGATTTTTCTTCTTTTTTTTTTTTTTCTATTTTATCTTACTTTATTTTTATTTATTTATTTTTAAATTTTATTTTATATATAT